CCCTCCCCTCTCTCCCCACCCCCCACTGTCTCCCCTACCCCCCCAACTGCCCCCAGTGTGTGATGTTCCTCTCCCTGAGTCCATGTCTTCTCATTGTTCAATACCCACCTATAAGTGAGAATATACGGTGTTTGGCTTTCTGTACTTGTGTCAGTTTGCTGAGAATGATGGTTTCCAGATTCATCCAAGTCCCTACAAAGGACACGAACTCATCATTTTTTATGGCTGTGTAGTATTCCATGGTGTCTTTTTGTATTGCTTGCTTTGATCTAGCAAGTTGCTATGTTGGAGAGGCCCATGTGGCAAAGAACAGAGAGTGGCCTCTGGCCAACAACGCACAAGGTACTGAGGCTATCAGACCAGTAGTCCACGAGGAATTGAATTCTGTCAACAACCATGTGAATGAACTTGGAAGTGGATCCCTACCCTGTTGAGCCCTGAGATGACTATAGCCCCAGCTGTTGATGGCAGCCTTGGAGGGACACCACAGAAGAGGATCCAGCTAAGCCACACCTGGATTCTTGTCCTACACAAAGTGTGTGAGATAATAAATTATGTTTTAAGCCACGACGTTTTGGGAGAATTTATTATGTAGGAATAGATAACTCACCTTGGCATGTCTGAAGAACAAAAATTGAACCAGTTTGGCTGGAATGAGATAAGTGAGTAGGAAGTGAAGTTAGAAAGGTAATGTTAGGCTACCTAGGGCCTTATAGGTCATTATACAATTTTTAGTTTTTTGGAATAAATTGGATAGCCAATGGAGAATTTTGAGTAGAATGACATGCTGTAACTTAGGATTTACATGTTCTCTCACAAAGCTCTGTTTAGAAAAGTTCTAGGATAGCGGTGGGGATAAGATTGGAACAGGGAAAACAGGCTAATGTAATAAGAAGATGAGAGAATGGTGTTGGGTGAGTGGTAACAGTGAAAGAAATAAATGATTCCATTCTGGAAATATTTTTACGGTAAGGCTGACAGAATTTACTGACAGATTGGGTATAGTATATAAACAAAAGGGATATAGGCTTTGAGAAAAATGACTAAGATTTTTGATTATATTTGCTGAGATGGGGACTGCAGGAAGAGCAAGTTTTCAGGGAGAAGTATTTAGAAGCACAGTTTTGTATGTTATGTTTGAGATGCTTTTTAGACATCCAAGTGGAATTATTAAGTAAAGAGTTCAATATATGAGTATGGTGGTCTGGGGAGAGGTCTGGGCTGAAGAAGTAAATATGTGGATTGGCAAACTATAGAAGGTATGTAAAGCCATGAGATTGGATGATAATACCAAGGGAGGAAGGATAGATAAAAAGTAGAATAAGAGGCCAGGTGCAGAGGCTCATGCCTCTAATCCCAGCATTTTAGGAGGTTGAGACTGAAGGCTCTTTTGAGCCTAGGAATTTGAGATGAGCTTGAGCAAATGGTGAAACCCCACCTCTACAAAAAATTTTAGAAAATTAGCCAGGTGTGGTGGCATGCACCTGTAGTCCCAGCTATTGGGAAGTTGAGGCAGGAGGATCGCTTGAGCCCAAGAATTTGAGGCTGAAGTGAGCTATGCTTGTACCATTACATTCCAGCCTGGGCAAGAATCTGAGACCCCTTCTCTTAAAAAAAAAAAAAAAGAAAAGAAAAGAAAAAGAAAATAGGATAAGAAACTCAGCCCTGGAGCCTATCAGTATTAATCTACCAGGAAAAATAGTAGGAAACTGTAAAGGAGGTTGAGAAGTGATTTAAGGAGAAAAGCCAGCAGAGTGTGGTATCTTAAAAGTCAAAAAAGCTTTTCAAAAGAAGGTGGTCAATTGTTTACAAGTAGGATGGCAGTTGAGAAATGACCATTGGATTTAGCAATATGAAGGTCACTTGGGACCTTGATAAGAGTAATTTCAGAGAGAACAGAAGTATTGGAACAACTCTTTTGAGGAGTTACACTGTAAAGAGGAAGAGAAATGCTGCAATATCTGGACAGGGATGTGGCATCAAGAGTCAGTCATTTTTCAAGCACAGGAGAACTTAAAGTTTGTGTTCTGATGGGACAGATCTAGTAGAAATGGAAATATTGATGATGCAGCAAAGATTTGTTGAATTGCTTGGGAAATGAGATGGGATCTAGTGCACAAAAGTAGGGGTTACCCTAAGATAATAGTTTAGGCAGTTCATCTATAGAAATAGGATTAGGGCCGGGGGTGGTAGCTCATGCCTGTAATCCCAGCACTTTGGGAGGCCAAGGCGGGCTGATCACCTGAGATTGGGAGTTTGAGACCAGCCTGACCAACATGGAGAAACCCCATCTCCACTAAAAATAAAAAAAAAAAAAATTAGCCAAGTGTGGTGGTGCACGCCTGTAATCCCCACTACTTGGGAGGCTGAGGCAGGAGAATGGCTTGAACCCAGGAGACAGAGGTTGTGGTGAGCCAAGATTGTGCCATTGCACTCCAGCCTGGGCGACAGAGCACAACTCCGTCTCAAAAAAACAAAACAAAACCAAAAATCCAAACAAAAAAAGGAGTATATGGGTACACGTTCTTGTGGATGAGTGGTGGTATGAACTTTGAATGTTCTCATCTACTAATTTTTTTTTCAGGGCAATAGAAAGCCAGGCCATCAACTGAGAGCGAGGATCAGGGAATTATGTAGAGAGTGCTGAAAATTTGAGGAGAGAGGAAAAAATTAGGAGATAGCATTAATAGACTTGGAAAAATAATAGATTTCCTGGGTCACATTAGGAGCTAGCTTGAGTTTTTGTAATGAATTCAAAGTCAAATCTCTAGCATGATTGTGTATTTCCTCTTCATCATGCTCAGCTGCATAGGTGCTGGTATGGAGCTGACAGGGAGTTGGCGTTAACCAAGTTGTAGTTTGCCAAGAGAGTGAGCAAAGTGAGAGAGGGTAAAAGGAATGCATGCAAAGGACTGGTTGTATTGATTTGCCATGGCATATAAGTTAGACAAGAAGCGATGATAATACTTGAGAACAGTGAGGGACATTGAAAATGTGGTTTAAGTTGGATCCATGAATTCTGAGGTGACGATGAGTCAGAAGAATTTTAGAGCTAGGATTTTAGAGTTAATACTTGACATTGTGCAACATTTATTGAAAAGCAACATGGTGATCCTTTTATAGTTTAGCCTTAAAAATTGGAATTGCCTAGGTGTTCTATGATCTTAAACTGGCCTCCAGCATTTTAAGAGTGAATGCCTGACTTGGCTGTAGAAACTTGCACGTCAGTGACGTTCTGCACTTATATTTCATTAAATATTTAACATCTCAAAAGCCTGACTTTTTCTTTTTTTCTTTCCAAGATGGCTTGTGGTCTGTGCTTTAATCTACTTCCTAGGGAGGCTTTTTTTTTTTTCTTACTTGCTTTTATGCAAAGAAGACTGTTGTTTATTTTAACATTTAATATGGCATATTAAAAGAGAAGATCTTGTTTTGGAGTATTTGTAAGCTAACAATTTAAAACTATCGAATGCTTTCATGATAAAATTCTCCTTTTTCTCTACACAATATAGATAATAGATGTTTTATGATGTCAAACATTTACTCTATACCCTAGCTCAAATTACTTTTGTCCATTATCCATAAGCTTATAAATATCTGTATCAGTGGGAAGATAAACTTACATTTATGTAAAACTTGATGGAACGAAACAAAATTACATGATACAACAATTTTTATAGGGCCACTAGATGGCTCTGTTACCCTATTATTTATGTATATGTTTAAACCCCTTTGAATTTGTCACCTTGTTTAGGTATGTGTTTAATACCTTTTGAATTAAATACATTTGTTCATTGTGCATGAATGTATTAATGTATATGTGGATAATGACATGAAAATGGCAGCATATCTAGTAGCTCTAAAAGCGTATCCTCTGGACTTCAGTTTTATATAATGAATATCTACAGTGAATATTGAAAACTTCAGGTTCTACCAGAAATGAACAACCTTCTCCAGATGCATATTCTAGTTATACCATTGGAATACACCGGAACTTGATACACAAGTTTTTAACATACTGAATTAATCAGTTAGATATTTAATTCATTTCCTACTGTGCAAAGTATTTAACACATTGTCAATGTGCTATATATCAAACTAGACAATGATTCCGCTGGAGAAATAAAATATTTCTGCCTCGTCTACTAGAGGGCAAGAATGTACTCATATTCATCTCACCTACAGTAGTACTTTGATACATGCTCAATGAAACGTTTGTTGAATGAGGAAGCTAGGATGATAAAAAATGAAAAAGAATTCTGTGAAATTATACATAATGTACAGAAGGAAAAAGGAGTGCAGGGTAGTACATTTAAGCAAAAGCGACAAACTTTTTAAAATGCAGAGTAGTATTTAAGGCAAAAAAATGACTAACTCTTTTGGCCTCAGGCACATCTTACCTCTGTCTTTGCCAAAAGGTTTAAATTAAGTCTCACCTCTATGTTAGGACTATATTTCACATTTTGTGATGAAAATCATTTCAGAGGGAAAATCCTATCGCAAACTGTTTAACTAATTCCTATTAGTTAGCATTTATAACTGGAATACATCATCACTGTCTCTACCAAAAAATATAAAAATTAGCCAGGCGTGGTGGTAGATGCCTGTAATCCCAGCTACTCAAGAGGCTGAGGCAAGAGAATCACTTGAACCTGGTTGGAGGAGGTTGCAGTGAGCAGAGATTGTGCCCCCGCACTCCAGCCTGGGTAACTGAGTAAGACTGCATCTCAAAATAAAAGAATAAATGAAATAAAAAAGTAAAATAAAAGACTTCAGATGGTGTATAAGAATACTAGCTTGGCTTGCTGAAAAGCCGCAAAGGCCGTCAGGACCCCACGCACCTGAGACTTTTACCTTTACCCAAGAAAGGAATAAAAGAGGTCTGAGGCAGGAGAATTGCCTGAACCCAGGAGGTGGAGGTTGCGGTGAGCCGAGATCGTGCCATTGCACTCCAGCCTGGGTAACAAGAGCGAGACTCCGTCTCAAAAAAAAAAAAAAAAAGAGGTCAGACGATGACAACGTTGTCCTCAACAGCCAGGCCTCAGGAATCAGTGGCTTTTGAGGACGTGGCTGTATACTTCACTAAGAAGGAATGGGCCATCATGGTGCCTGACCAGAGGGCCTTGTACTGTGTGATGCTGGAAAACTGTGAGGCTGTGGCCCTTGTAGCAGTGCCACCCACTTCCAAACTAGCTCTGGTCTCTCATCTGGAGCAAGGTAAAGAGCCCTGTTTCACCCAACCACAGGGAGTCCTAAGCAGGAGGGGCTGGAGAGCAGGGTTTATAGGATACTTGGAACTGAGAAGATATACTTACTTAGCTGAAGCAATGTTGGGTATAATAAAATCAAAAATTCTTCAAAATCATCAATTATGGGAAGACAGGAGAAAGAGTTTAAATTCTTGACATTTAAATACCCGTTTTCCAAGTAAGCAGTTGATGTAAGAGCCACCTTAAATGATGTCAAATCCACATTTCCTTTTTGTAGATTTAATGTGTTTCATTGATTAAAATAATTCATTTTGATGTACAAAAAAAAAAAAAGAATACTCCAATTTAACTTAAATGATGAGAACATGTGGACACATAGAGGGGAACAATACATGATGAGCCTACCTGGGGGTGGAGGGAGGAAGGAGAGAGAGGATCAGGAAAATTGCTATTGGGTACTAGGCTTAGTACCTGGTGAGGAAATAATCTGTACAACAAACTCCCATAAAACACGTTTACCTTTGTAACAAACCTGCACATCCTGCACATATGCCCCTGAACTTAACATAAAAATCTAAAAAAAAAAAAGGAATACTGATGCATAGTATGGCTAATACATGCTATAGATGAAACTCAGAACCATGCCACTAAGTGAAAAGAAGCCAGACACAAAAGACTACATACTATATGATTCTATTTATATGAAATGTTCAGAAAAGACAAATTTATAGTGACAGAAAACAGATCAATGATTGGCTGGGGCTAGGTTGGGGGCAGGGCTTATCTTCAAATGGGCATGAAGAACCCTATCAACCTTCATCAGAAATCTTCTGACATCAGATCGCCACGATGGCTGTACAATCCTATTAATGACTCAGCAGTTATGGGATGTACGCTTCATCTGTTGAGTTTTATAGTATCTAATCATACATCCTCAAAAAGTCTATTTAAAAAGATGTAAAAGAATAGATTAATTCTTGCCTTCCTGGGACAGTGTTCAAGCAGCCTTTCCATATTCACTCTTTAAACTTTGCTCTGTCCCTGTGTATTCTACCTGTAACCTCTTTCTGGATTCCACATGCTAACACTGCATTGAGAATTGTGCCTCTTTATTCAGGAATATGATTGGTCTATAGTTTTGTTTTCTGCCATCTTTGTAAAGCTTTAAACAAAGGTTAAAAATAAATGTCATATTTACACTAAAGAAAGATAGATAATTTTTTTTTTTTTTTTGAGATGGAGTCTCTCTCTGTCGCCCAGACTGGAGTACAGTGGTGCGATCTTGGCTCACTGCAACCCCCGCCTCCTGGATTCAAGTGATTCTCCTGCCTCAGCCTCCCAAGTAGCTGGGACCACAGGCACCCACCACCACGCCTGTCTAATTTTTGTATTTTTAGTAGAGATGGAGTTTCACCATATTGTCCAGGCTGGTCTCAAACTCCTGACCTTGTGATCCACCTGCCTTGGCCTCCCAAAGTGCTGGGATTACAGGTGTGAGCCACCGCACCTGGTCAAAAATAAATAAATTTTATCTCCAAGTGAACAATCATTAAAAAAAGAATACTCCAATTTAACATGTAAGATGTTTTAGTAGTTATTTCTTAATTTTATAAGTAAAACTGTAGAAAACTAAGTAGAATAGAACCAGATAAGTGATTTTTGTATTTCTTTAGTTTAAAACCCTTTCATCAGTGTGATAATTCATGTAAATGGACAGTTTTTATTTAGGAAACAGAAAGTCCAGAAAGAAATTTCTGGATTTGAGGACTTAAATTTGATAAAGCAATACAAATTTTTTAATACTCATCATTCTTTACAGCATTGAACAAAACTTACTGACAAGGACTAAGAAGGGAAATTATGTAAAATGAGTGTAACACACAAGGAGTTCTGAAAATAATTATTTATAGCATTTTTTTTTTAAGACAGAGTCTTGCTCTGTCACCCAGGCTGGAATGCAGTGGTGGATTTTGGCTCACTGCAATCTCCGTCTCTCGGGTTCAAGCGATTCTCCTGCCTCAGCCTCCAGAGTAGCTGGGATTACAGGTGCATGCCACCACACCTGGCTAATTTTTGTATTTTTAGTAGAGACAGGGTTTTGCCATGTTTGACAGGCTGGTCTCAAACTCCTGATCTTATGTGATCTGCTTGCCTCAGCCTCCCAAAGTGCTGGGATTACAGATGTGAGCCACTGCACCCGACTACAATTATTTATAGTCTCTAAGAGAGATAGTAATAATGGTGATAACTAGTGTTTATTGAGTATTTACATGCTCATTAACTCATTTAATCCTAAAAATTGTATGAGGGCTATACAATTATTATCACCAATTTACAGATGAGTAGATTGAGGCACAGAGAAATAATGTAATTAACCTAAGGTTTGAAGTGGGTTTGGATATAATCTTTCTGGCTCAGAGCCCATACTCTTAACTGATGATCTGTGTAACAGAAGAAAAATGATATTAGGTATAAAATAAGTCTGAGCTTTGCTACTTGTGAGACCTTGGGAGAATTAACTATCCATTCCAAGCCTGTTTCCTCGTCTATAGAAGGAAGCTAGCAGTATCTTTTTGGTATTGTTTTTAGGATAATTTATAAGAATTATCTGGTAATTACCATTATTTAAGAGTTAGAGGTTTTGTTTTTTTTGTCTTACATGTAATAATTATTATTAAAAATTGAATTTATTATTTTTATTTAGAAGAAACACAGTTGTGAGTCTTTGTATGATTGGGGAAATATGTATTTTTGTGAATCAAATTTATTGATTTTTATAAAAAGTTATACTTTTTTTCTAGCACTTATATATAAGAACATATACTATGTTAAAACTGTCATGTCTTGCTTTTCCAGTTACTTATTGTTAAATTAATTAATTCCACAAGTATTTATTGAGCACTTATTATTTCAGAGACTAGACCCATTGACGTGGGATATATCGATGAAAGAAAACAGACAAATAGTTTGCCTTTGAGAAGCTTATTTGAGTGGGAGAAGACAAAAGATCTAATAAAATTGGTAAATTATACAGTTAGTTATAAGATTACAAGTGCTATGGTTAAAAAAAGATTAGTTCGGAGTAATAGGAATCAGGTAGGAATCAGGAGTCAGGGTAGTGAGGAAGGGGTGAAATTTTTTGTAAGGTTGTCAGGGTAAGCCTTACTGAGTAGATGACATCTCAGCAAACACTGAACTGCGGTGTGAAAGCCACGTTAATATTTGTGGGCACGTCAACACCAAGGTCCTGAGTAAGACAGTCAGTAAGGGAGCCAGTGCAACTGTTGCAGAATGAGAGAGGAGTAAGAGGAGCTGCGGTCACAAAGGCAGTGGATGCCAGATTATGTAAGGCCTTGCAGGCCACTGTAAGGACCGTAGCATGTACTTTGAGTGAAAAAGAGAGCTATTGTAGGAATTAAAGTGTTGTGATTTACTTTGTAAAAGGATTACCCTGGATGTTCAGTTGACAACAGATTGTAGTACAGATACATGGAAGCAGGGAGGATAATCAGGATAAAGACTTTGGCATCTTAGAATGAGGTGGCAGCTGTGGATTTTGTGAGAAGTGGTTGGTTTTGGATAGAAGTGAAGATTGAGCTAACAGGATTTCTTGACAGATCGAATGTGGGGTGTGCTAACGAAGGGATTCACTATCCTATAGTATTCACAGTTCATGCCTACACTCAAGGAAATATGATCATATAAGGGGATCGTCACTCTTAGAGCTTGTCTACCACAGAATGGAATAGGTTTTTTTGGAGGAAGATCATAATCTTCAGATGTGCCTCAGTTGCAGACTCAACTACATCACTGTGTGTACCCTGGGTCATCTTAGCCGAGACAGAGCCTATCACTAGCCTCAACCCCAGCTGATTGCCCTTTTCTCCTGAGTATCCGTTGTTGCTAATTGGACCTGGAATGTAATGCTTATGTAGTAGGTAAAAATTCCATAATTCACAACTTGTTCAAAATATAGCTTTCTTTTAGTTTTTAATAATTGTCCCTATTCATGATATGATTCAGAACTTTAACAATTTTTAAATATTTTAGGAAAACCCAGTCAAAATGAAGATTCTTCTCTCCATTTCTTCCAAAGGTGGTCATGGTATTGGACATGAAGTGGCAGGGTAACATCTGGCCTCAGCCATCATCTCTCCTCTGCTGGCATTGGATGAACCTCAATAGGGTTGGTCAGTCTTTGTAAAGTGGTCTCTAGATTTCGTGGTCTAGGCTTCTCCCATGGCCTGTAGTCATCAATTGGTGCAGGTTATTATATACCCTCTTTGTACCAGCTGCCGGGTCCCTTTGGATTTAAAAGGCTGTTCTTAGTGATTCCTACAGCTTATCTGGAGAAATGGAACTTTTATGTGTTCTCCTGTGCCACTGTGGAACCTGTGCAAACCAAGGATGTTATACCTAGGATACCACAAGCTATCTCTACTATTTGGTGCAGGAGAGCCTTCACCATTGGTGGGCAGACTACATGGAGGAGGTTGCTGCTTTGCAGAGTTTTAAATGGGAAGTAGGGTGCAGCTTTCTCTACTGTTTGGTCTTCAGACTTAAAGCTCTCTCGTTCTCCATTCAGGGCTCAGCTTGGTGTCAAGGAATAAGGCAGGGGAGAAAAAAATCCAAATTTGTATTTATCTTTGTTTTCTCTTTGCAGTATTTCTTCATCTCCAGCCAGGCAACTCCATTCTGGGAGTAGAGTAGGAAGGTGGTGGAGGGGAGGTGTAGTCTGGCTTTCCACTATTTTCTTTTTAGCCTATTGTTTACGGTGTAAATCTTAGCTTTGAGTACTTAAATTACTTCCAACTCCCATGCAAATGGCTCTCATTCTTTTTAGTCTGGGGATCCTTTTACATTCTTAAACATTATTGAGAACCCCAAAGGGCTTTTGTTTATAAAAGAAATGATTATATTTATCAATATTATAGATAAATTTATCAATGTTATAGATAATGCTATATAGATAGTATAGTTATATTTATCAATATTTACTTTATTAGAAATTAAAATGGAGAAATTAAAAAAAACATTAAAAAGTAAGAACAAACCCATAATAAAGCTGTAGTTTTAATGAAAAAATAACTATGCTTTCCAAAATAAAATGAAAAGAGCGGCATTGCATTACATTTTGGAAAATTTCTTTAATGTTTGGCTTAATAGAGACATTGAATTCTCATATCTATTTCTGCATTCAATTTATTTTGATAGGTTGTTTTGTTGAAGCATATGAAGAAAATCTGGTCTCATACCCATATGTGTTTGGGAAAGGAAATTATATATTTATATACCCATATGTGTTTGGAAA